CGGGCATTTCTTTTTAAAAGTTACGATCTAAATGTTTTTTAAATGTCTTTTAAACGTCTTTTAAACATTAATGTTTAAAAGACGTTTAAAACACATTTAGAACGTAACTTTTAAAAACAAATGCCCGTCGGGATGTTACTGTATCCTAAAAAAAAAAAAATATACTGCAAGTTTTGTGACTTGCCAAAAACATACTGAAAGTGTTGTGACTTGCTAAAAACATACTTTTTTACACTTCTTTAGATGGGGGAGGGGGAGAGAAAGCCCTATCCATCAACACAGTTAAGTAAAAAATGTTTTTTCAATTCTTTATTATTTATCTTTTATGCTTTTAAATAAAAAACTGATAATTATATATTTAGCAAATTTTTTTGCACCATGCTAAAAATTGAGCTAAGATTTGCCAAAGACAAACATCCGAGCACCAAAAAAGACACTTTGTTTGATAATTTATCATACATCAATCAAAACTTTATTATTTAAAGTTAAAAAAAAATATTTTTTATATAGGTGGATGGGGAAAGGGGAGGTGGAAAACGCCCCTCCCATAAATCAATTTAAAAACCTTTTATATACGTAAAAACTTGTATAAAATAATTTTCTTATTGTATACTAAATTTACTTATGTTAGTAATGATAAAAAAAAGTCCATACTCACCACATCCATACCCACACATACCCACCTCTCACTCTAAAATACATCTCTTTAATAGGTTAATGGTCTGTTAAAAAATTATATTCATTTTTTTTATTTTAATATCTTTAATTTCTCTTCGAAAACATTTTTTTATGAAAAAAATGTTCAGTTTCAAACAAATAACGTAGTGATTTGGCGCCCCCTCTTTCGACTCTATACGCCCGGTAATTTGAGTTTAACATAAATTTGTCGCCTACTCTTATACCTAAATTTTAATACCAAGATGTTTTTATTTTGATAAGAATTGATAAAGTTCTGAAAATTTAAGTAAAGAAAAACATAAATTTGACCACAGTTTCTTCAACAAATATTAAAAATCGGTACTTAAACTGTCATAACATCCGAACAAATGCTTCAATTTTGATAATTTTTTCACCATTATAATACTGTATTAATCTTCTTTCCAAAGCTATATATAAGTATAGTATTCAAACAGTTTGAAATTTTTATCCACATACCTTCAACTATAATAAAGAAAAGGTGTTTCGGTTACCAACTGATAAAGAAGAACGTGCTCGTTGGATTTCTATAATAACACAGCATAATATACCTGGTGGCAACAATACTGTTGTATGTGAGCTTTGTTTTTCACCCAATTATATAACAATAATTAAGCATGGTAAAAAGAAACCTCGTGACCCACCTTCACTATTTTCTTGTGTGAAACCAAGTCTTGTTCCTACAAAACCTAGTTCATCTAGAACAAATAAAACTTTGTCTGAAGTGCGCAATAAAGTTCCAGTTAAACTCCGTTTTTTCAATTAACAAGATAAAGTAGTCAATTTTGAGCATCTTAAAAATAAGGTTGAAACTGGCAGTCTTGACGTTTTGATCCGCTCTGTTTGATACTTCACTAACAATACATTATACATTTTGAAGAAAATACATCAATAACTAAAGTTTAAAAAATAAGTCCTGTTATCATTTGAAAAAAAACTATAATCCTGAAATAATCATTTAATCGCTATATGATAGACTGAGACAAGACTACCAGCTTCCATGTATCTCACTTTATATCAAAAATTGATTCTTCTCTTGACGATTTTGAAAACATCAGGGAGATTTTTAAAAAGGCAAAACTCAGTTATGAAAAAAAAAATGTATTTTAAAAATAGTCTAAGTATACAGAAAGCCTTCTCTTACATATTGCTCCGGGGCTTTATTAGGAAAGACTGTAAACAAACTGGTTCATAAGCATCAATCGTTTTAAGTTTTATGTTGATTTCAATTTGTGAAGGTCCAAAATGTTTATGCCGTATGTTGTTAGTGTTAGGACTTTATGCGGATTATTTATTTGAGAAGGCAAATCATTTTATTGATTGTGTTCTAAAATCTGATGGAGAAATAATTGCAATCATTTGTGATAACCAGTCTTTTTACTTTAAGCTTATTTGTAGAGAGCCATGCAGAACCGAAAAGTAATATATTGCTTTACTTAATGACTTTATCCATTTAATAAAATCAGTGTAAAACAACTGGCTAATTAAAAAAAAAATAAACTCTAAATTTTGAAGATGTAAATGAAATGAAAACAGCTTTGTGGTCTGATTTAAAACATTTACATGAAACTGAAAAAAAAAGTTTAGCACTTTCAAAGCTTAACGATGTATCGAAAAAATATTTTGTGATGAAACATTAGCTATGCTGAAGACATGAATTATCTATGTTCTAACATAAATAATTTAGATGGTACCATACGGTTTATTGAACTTTCATTAAAGTTTTGGAAGATTGTAAATTTTAAAGGACTTTATGCAGACTTACACTATCGTGGTAATGAAAGTGCTCTTATATCTTCAGAAAATGATGAAAGATAAACATTTTTGAGCAAAATTGCTTGCATAGCGCAGAAAATGACTTAGTCAAGGACAAAGATAATTTCAGCTCACACGTGATACAGGGAGAGCACTTTTTTTTTTTACCTTTTTAATTCTGGATTTCGATACGTAGTACTTAATAAATTAACAACAGTCTCTTTCTAAACACTCAGCAAATAAGATTATTTAAATTAAATTAATTTTGCAAGTGGGTATAAATATTGATGAAGTTGGAGAAAATGAACCATGATTGTGAAAAGCATAAGTATTTATTAGATGGCAAATCATCAAGAATTTTTCATAAATTACCTGAACTGGAAGAAAAGCTAGATACATATGTTAAAAAACCCTAGTTTACATTTCTGTGTATGTTAAACTGAAAAAGTCAGTTTAGTCGAAGTCAATAAAACACTAAAATATTCTGAAGTAAAAATATCAACTGTGAGTCAACTGTGAAAAGACGTTTACGTGTTTGGAAGACGTTCTAGTGTAAAACCGTTGATTTTAAAAAAGAACCAGGTGGCTCGAGTAAAATTCTTCAAAGAGCATTTACTCTGGATTGAACAAGATTAAAGTTAAGTGTTGTGGAGTGATATAAGTAAATATAATTTGTTTTCACCTGATGGTATAAAGTATGTTAGACGTCCAAAAAATAAATGAGCAGACCCTTGCTACACTGTACCAAACGTAAAACTAAGAAGTTTTAGTGTCATGGTTTGGGGATGATTTTCACATGATTATGAAAGGCCATTAGTTTAAATTAAAGGCATTATAGATGCCAAAATGCATCAACGATGGTGTTTCCAGCCGGATAATGATCCTAAACACACTTCAAAGGTTGCCAAAAGTTGATTTACATTTAAAAAAAGTCCGTGTTATGAACTGACCCAAATCTCATTGAAAATTTCAAGAAATTTAATCGTCAGGTTAGAGAAGAAAATTTTACTAACAAAAAGGAATAATTCCAATAGTTTTTGAAATTTTATTTTCTATTAGATTAATATGCTCTTTCCAATTTATTTATTTACTCATCGATTAAAACGCCTGTGAATTTAACTTAATATGTCCGTCCGGACATACTGTGAAAATGAATTTAACACAGTATATCCGTTGCAATTTGGTTTTTTCTATTAAAATATCCGGGAGTTTTAAAGGCAACGTGTCAGATATACAAATTTAATATTATTTGTAGATTATGTTTAACTGCACAAGTTAATTTTCACTTTTTATTTATTTTTAACGCATTTTTTTAAATCTTATCTACTGCCAAAATAAATACAAAAATACAAAAATACAAAAAAAAAAAAAAAAAAAAAAAAGTTTTAATGTTCTTTTAGTAGTTTTTGTGCTTCGGATAAAATCTAAGACATCTAAGATAAAATCACTTGTAGATGTTTTCCAGCCAGTAATAATTAAATAAGTTTTGAAATCTTTAAGAATGAAAAACAGAGGATTCATTTTTGCGGTTTTCGTTGATGAAATTTAAAAAGACTTAGAGAGAGCTTTGATATCCTTAATAGAATGGTGGTATACAAAAGGATAAAAAAACATTTTCCAGCAAAATCTTGAAGAAAACAGTTTGATCTTTTTACGATATTTCTTTAGCGTATGTATAAATATTTTTGTACTTTTATTTTGTAAAAATATTTACAGAAGATTATTAAAAAAATAATAAAAATAATATTGATTTACATTTTTACTGCATTTTCAATATTTTTAATTTTTAAACAAGTTTAGATTCAATAACATGATCCCTTGTAATTGAGTCAAGTCAAAAACCGGGAATTGTTAAAAATTCTGAGTTCATTAATATTAATTTTTATTTTAAATTCTATTATATTTTTATTATTAAAGATTTTTTTATCAAATGTAATATAAGATGTCACTTGGTAAGACTTTAAGTTTTTTTAAAACTGTTTAGTTAAATTACTTTTGTAATTTAAATAAACAGTTTTAAAAAAACTTTAATTTAACTAAACAGTTTTAAATTATTTAAGTTCCCAGTGAGCACGCGTCATCAGGAATACGTCCGCTGAACGTCTCATGGACGTCTAGACGTCCGTAAAAAATCCGACGGACGTAACCCGGACGACGCATACCCAGTGTGCATGCGTCTATAACTATAATTATTGTTATACTATTTTATTTCTTAAGCTTATTTTATAACTTTAAATTTTTTTTTCAAATTAGTTTATTTTTACCTTTTTTAAAGCTTGTTTTTAATTACCTATTGTTGTTAGAAAAGTATTATGCATGCCAATTATTCAATCCCCGTTCCTAGATATAGACGTTTACTTTTCTCATATATTCTATCACGTTTTCTTAGGTACATACATATTCCGGACAATTGCACTAAACAACATGAGAATTCGGTTTTACTGAATGTTATGACATTTTTAAAATTTATATGGCAGCATTTTTGTGCAACCATATCTATATTTTGAATAATATAATATATTTTATAGTTTTATATAATGAATCCTAACCTTCTACGAACAAGGCACCATGTTATAAAAGCCATTGAAATGACAAAGAAAAATGAAACAGTTATGATTACCAAGTTCAATATCTGTTTTTTTGTAAGCGCCATTAAAAATCTAAAAAAGGAAACATCTATCTATATATATGTAAATATGTAAAACAAAACTCAATATTTCAATTATATATATATATATATATATATATATATATATATATATATATATATATATATATATATATATATATATATATATATATATATATATATATATATATATATATATTATATATAGAAGGCTATCAATACTTTTACAAAATTTTGGTGTGACATTCTTTCGCCTATAAATACGCAAAAATCCATCTCTATGATATAAATCTCAAAGATCCAAAAATCTTTGCAAATCTTGAAGATCTTTAAGATTTGAAAAGATTTTTTTATTAAGACAAGAATAGATGGTAACGTTAAGACAAGAATAGATGGTAACGTTAAGACAAGAATAGATGGTAACGTTAAGGCAAAAATAGATGGTAACGTTAAGACAAGAATAGATGGTAACGTTAAGACAAGAATAGATGGTAACGTTAAGACAAGAGTAGATGGTAACGTTAAGACAAGAATAGATGGTAACGTTAAGATATCTTTTATTAAAAAACAAAAAAAAAATAACAAAAAAAAAAACGATCTTTTTCTTAAAATTACAAAATAATTTTAAAAAGTACAAAAACTTCTGCCTAAAAAGTTTAAGATTTATTTGAAGTTGTTAAATTGTTAAATCAATTGTTATTAAATCAATTGTTATTAAATCAATTGTTATTAAATCAATTGTTATTAAATCTCTTATTAAATCTCTTATTAAATTGTTATTAAATCGTTGTTAAATCAATAAACTGTACAGTTTATTGAAAACAAACACAAATATATATACACATTATATCTCTACAATATATATCCACAATATATTTCCACAGTATATCTTTTAAATAAAGGGGGCCCCGCAAGTTTTGGGGCCCGCAAAGACTTTAGAGGACCTTTTTTTTTAAGTCATTTTTAGGCTCTGGTCCATAAAAAGGCCTCAAAAAATAAAAATAGCCCCGGGCCCCAAGAATTTTTAATCCGCCAGTGCAGTTTGGTTTGAACCTTGCAAACAGAATAATTGCTTAAGCACATCGCAATGAGATTTTTTGTTATAGGGGTAAATATTCAATTAATGTTCTGCTCTTGAGTTAATGACTATTATGTTTAAATTTTTGGTTAAGATTATTATTTGCAACTATTTAAGGAAAATTGTTTTTTGCATTTTTAAAAAGACTTTTTGATCATTCTTTTAAAAGTATATATAAAAAAATGTTATTTATTATCCATTTTTATAATTTAGATGAATTAGCAACAATAAAATATAGCATTGTATGCTGTGCAATCTAAAATATTACAAGACAATATAAATGGCCTTCGATTACTCTTTGGCAACTTAAGTAGCATCTAACAATCTAGTCTTTTGTGTCAAAACCGCATTTATATTTGTTGCAATCTAGAATTATCCTTAATTTTATCAATCAAATTTTTCATAGGGAAACTATTGTACAGGCTGAAAACCAAACTCGAATAATCTGGTTAATGCTTAGCAACCAACTGTTATGATATTCTCTTCTTTTAACTATTTTTTTGATGACTTCAGTGTAAATCATTTTACGTCCTACCAAAGCACGTGCAAAATGTTGAAGAAAATGTATTTGTTGTTATGCGTTTATAACAATGAATTTCATCCATTTCCATTTAAGTAAGCAGTAAAATCTTGCACAACATCACGTTCTCCATTTACTTGACCTACATATGGTTGCTATACAATTTAGGTGTCCCAAACAACAAAACTACAATCTAATTATGTCATTATGGTGACATAGTTTAAATAATAAAATATGCATATTTTAGTATAAAATCAATCCAATCATGTCCACAATTAGTTATAAAATTTAAGCAGTCTGGTAATTAAAAGGAAAATCTAACAAATACTCTTAAAGTTAATATTAAATTCCAGTTAATAATAATTTATGGAAAGTGGTGTGAACTTTCGAGTTAAATGCAGTGCTCTGTGTCAATAATTTTTGGAGATTTTATTGGAAAACCTTAATAACAAACAAAATTAAGATAAACAATATTCATGTTTAGGGTTTTATATTTTTAAATAGAAAATTTGTCGTGTGTAGAACATATCAAGGTCAGAGTAAAAAAACGTTTTTTACATTTATTTCGTTTTTATAGTTGAATATGAATATTTTACTTGAAATTGCATCATTATTTTTCTTTCAACTAAGTATTTTATTTTCAAAAAACTTAAAATTGCGTTGTTTTTAAAATTAACTTTTTTAAAAAAAAATTAGCTATAAAATAAAAGCAATTTCATTAATTTAAAAATAATTTCTGTTTTCAACTAGGTATGTTATGTAACTTGTGAAATGTTAGAAGAAAAACAAAATATTTTACAAACATTTCTTTTTTTTGCTTACATTTGTTTTGTGTTTGTATTTACAACAACGTGGGTTAGCTTATAAACAATATTAAAATAATATTTTTTTCAATTAAAACACTTGAATTGAAAAATCAGATAAACAGGATTCTGCACAAAACAACTCTCCAACAATGTATAAAGGATGTCATCAGCAAATTTGTAAAGTTCAGTATTGCAGTTAAATATATCGTTTATATCGAGTATAAAGAGTATAAAAAGAATGGGTCCGAGTGCACTGCCTTGGATGACTGTATTTGTATCCGCCTAATAAATTGCACCCTCCCCTGCCCCTATTTTTAATGATAACGTTTAGCATATTTGGGTTGTAAACTAGAATTAAAAAAAAAGTGTCCCCAGCTGAGCGCACACTGTAATATTCACAAAAGTTAAACTGCATATCTTAAGTCTTCGGTTTAATTTAAATTGTAGACCGTTAATTTCAATTATTGAAACCTTTTAGCACTTTTCAATAACGTTTTCCTTTTTCTCATATACTTACATGGTCATTGTGTATTTTTGAATATAGCTGCATTGGTATGATTTAAGTAGGTCTTAAGGGTTAAAGCTGCTTTGAAAGAGTAAATACAAAATTTATTATTGAGAAATTAGAAAAATTTCTTAATTTTTCTACTTCTAGTGATGATAACACTAAAAATTTAACAATGGAAGATTACTTATTAAGTTCTTATTAAGTTTTTTTAAATTTTGTTATTTAGGTGCCCCATAAAGACGGTCTTGTCACAGAGCACCGCGGATGTGCATTTAACTAGAAAGTTCACGCCTCCTTCCTTACTGTGACGCAAAAATATGTCCAGAGTTTGTTTCAAACCTGGATCTCCTGCTTCTAAAGCAAGTGCTCTAACCACTGCGCCACGGCCGCAATATAAAACCAAGATAAATTTTCTGCTTTATTATCTAAGTTTAATATACTCCTTAGCATTAATTAGCATGTTAGCATCAATAATACAGTTAACAAAAGTTAAAAAAAGTTGGCTTATTTACTCCATACACAGAGATGCATATAGACCTTGCTTAGCTCCAGTGTGCATGAAATGTGTTCACATGCCTAGGAACCAATTTTTTTGATCTTAAATCATATTTAAGATAAAAAAAATATATGTTATTAATGGCGTTATCGCAGAGCACCGCTGAATAGTATTTTGCCAGAAAATCTGAACCTCCTTCCTTACCAATGATGCATATATGCCCAGAGCTTCTAACCACGGAGCTCCAGTTCTGAAGCCAGAATTCTAACCACTTCCAATTTTTTTTTATGAGCGCCGGTTTTTGTATGAGGGTAAAAAAATTGAAATTTAAAAAAAAAAAATTGGTTTTTACCTTTTCTCCACACGCATTTTTTAAAGTTTTTTAAAACGTGGGATTAGGGTTTGGGTGTCACCTCTCCACCGTCATTCTATTTCTGCGATCCATGGGCCAGTGTGCGCAATCATTAAATTTAAATAGATTAAAGGAATAAGGAATTTCTAAAATAATTAGATTCTTTTGCCCAAAAAGTATTTTACCCAAATTTTAACAAGATTTTATAAACAGTTAACGGAGTTTAATGTTTATGAAATCTTGTTAATGCATCAGTCAAGTATATATCTAAAATAGAATGTACCTTTACCTAAAATAGAATGTACCAAATATACTTGCAATAAAGAACTAATAAGCTACACATATGTTATGTGCTTTCCATCTTTTTAAATTTATTAAAATAAAATAAAAAATCTTACCAGCAAAGTATATCATGTTGAACAAAAATAATAAAAAATCACACAAAGTTCAACAATTAACTTTTTTTCATGCAAATTTTTTATTTATTTTTCTCATCTAAAAATTTATTTATTTTATATTTTTTATAAAAACACAAAAGTTCAGTTATTTATTATTGATAAAGTAAGCTTATTAATAAACAAAAATAATAAAGTTTTTTTATAAAAGTACGTATTACTAACATACTGCTACATAATGATTGAATAGGAGGAGTCTGATAGTTCATCTGCAGCAAAATTTAACAAGACATTATTATTCTGAGAATAAATGATCAATAAAAACTTCAAAACATTCATTTATTATTAATTTGGTTATTAATTGTTATGCAAATAGAAAGAAATAAAGTAAATATTTCTTGATCATAATCGAAATATAAATTGTTTTTAACACAATAAATAATTTTTTTTCACCAATAAATTGGTGGAAACTCTGATTGCTAAACAAAAGTAAAGATAAAGACCGTCTTAACGGCAGACCACAGATTAATGGCAGACAGCCAATTGATCGCAGTACACCAATTGACAGCAGAGCATCAGCTTATCAACAAACTCACCACCCAGCAGACGCAGGCGTCCTATCGACGTCACAAGTCCGTAGGACGTCCTCAAAACGTCCAGCGGACGTTTTGTGCTTGCTGCGTGAGCTTCAAGCAGTGTCTTGTATATTAATGTACACAATATATTGTTAATTTGTGTTTATTTTTATGAAACGATTTTAAAAACAACTTATTTATATTAAAAAAAAATTTTATCATTTTTTTTTAATGTAAGCGTTTTTGGTCACATTAAACTACACACTTTTAGTTCTAACGACGATGTTGTTTATTTGT